TCCGAAATGGTATACTGTAGGGTTTCCTGCCTGAGCAGGAGGTTGGACTAGATGACCTCCAAGGTCCCTTCCAACTTTATCATTATTATTATTATTATAACACACAAAAATCCATGGAGATTCTCAGTCCTCCTGATCATGGTTGTCCCAAGCTGCTTTTTCAAGAGGCAACTGGACTTACTTTGTTTTTCTTTGAAGATGTTTCGCTTCCCATCCAAGAAGCTTCTTCAGCCCCACGATCTAGTCAGAGCTGAAGAAGCTTCTTGGATGAGAAGCGAAACGCCTTCAAAGAAAAACAAGGACGTCCAGTTGCCCCTTGAAGAATCGCCTTGGGACTAACAGACAAAGCTGTAGATGCTGAAGTTTTGAAGTTACCAATAAACAGGTCTCCCATCATCAAATGCCACTTAAACTAGAGATCAAAAATCATAGGAAGCCTCTTTCCGTTTGAATCAATGCAAGAATCAGCTTCTGCTTCTTTGGTGCTTTTTTTTGTCATGACATCCAATGTCCTTCCTTCTCTTTCTTTTCTAGTTCACTTCTTCATTTACGATCATGAGTTCATTAGTCAGTATTGCCAAGTATCTGCATTTCTAGAGCTGGAATCGCTCCTCTCTCAACAGAGCCTCAGGGAGGCCTTTTCGGACTCAGAAGTAACTACTGCCAAGCAGCGGCACCAACAAGTTCAGGATTATATGCAGGTATTGTGAAGCAAGGAACCAGGTGTGGCTCGGCATGAACAAGCAGGCAGAGTCCAAGTTCTCTCTCTAGGTAACACCTTTATTTAGCACTGGACAAAGGTGAACCCCGAATGGAAGAACCCCGAATGCATTTGGGGGAATGCAATGGAAGAATCCCGAATGCATTTGGAAGCAAGCATACATAGGTGTCTTAGTTCCACTTGGTTGCATAACAGGAACCTGGCTTATGGTAGATAAGGTACAGATGTTACAAAAATACTTGCGCACGCATCCTGTGGTTACGATCAGATGCTCAACTGTAAGCTTGTGGTTTCTTTATCAAAGGTTCCACAACTCCAAAGGCCTGTTAAGGCCTCAATTTTATTTCTGTCATTTCAACGTAAGAATATTTAGTCCACTTATCGGAATTATCAGAACCCCAATCAACAATATAAATATGAGACAGAAAATGTGGGATCAATATGTATTTAACCGCTTGGCCAAGCTGTAGGTCCTAGTTGTGTCAATAGGCCGTACTAATCAAATGAAATCTACCTCATGGTCATAGATCAGCCTAAGAAGGATGGAATATAAACGGTTAGTAACTTTAAAGGCTAAACATCTAAAATACACAAGGTTAAAAAACATTTTTAAAAAGCTAAAAAACATAAAACACATGAGCTAAAAGCTAAAATATGTATTTAAAAATCAAAAATACATAAAAGAAATAAAAACATTAATTAAATGCAGGAAAACATAAAGGTTAGTATGCCACCAACTAAATCTATCGCAGTACAGGTAGTCCTCGCCTTACGATCACAACTGACCACAACTTTTCTATTGTTAAGTGAAGCAGTTGTGAAGTGAGTTTTACCTCAGGTTACAACCTTTCTTGCCACCATTGTTAAACAAATCACAGCAGTTGTTATGTTAGTAACATGGCTGTTAAGTGAATCTGGCTTTCCCATTGACTTTGCTTGTCGGAAGATCGCAAAAGGGGATCACATGACCTCGGGACACTGCGACCGTCTGAATTTTGATCACATGACCGTGGGGACATTGCAATGGTTGCAAGAGTGGAAAACTGTCATAAGTCACTTTTTTCAGTGCTGCTGTAACTTAGAACGGTCACGAAACGAACTCTTGTAAGTCGAGGCCTATCTGTACAAAAGAACTCCTAACCAAGTTAAATACTGATCAAGGCTGGTTTGAGATCGAGGTCATCAGGAAGCACTGAGGTAATTTTGTTCCTGTTAACAGTCAGCATTCCAACATAATGGTCTGGCTTCACTGTGTACCACCCATTCCTTTTTTATGGCGTGTCTAAGACATTGTAACTTCTGCTTTGGGTTTTGGGTGATGGTGCTTTTGGACACCATTGTGGCTTCTACCAGAAACCTATGATAGGCAAAGCATGATAAATGTGTGGTCTTGCAGCTCTCTGACATTCATGTCTGATTCTTTGGCTCCCTTTTCTTGGGCAGCAAATGGAAGAGATTTGGCGAGAAATGCGTTGGATGATGGATGCCTTGCAACATGCCCGGTACAAGCAACCCTCTTGTGGCCTCCCCCTTGTGTGGTTCATCAAAGAATCGAGCACAGCACAAAATGAGACAACTCAGTCAACCTCTTCTCACTTAGACTTCCTTCCCTCGCCAAACCCGTCTCCTGAAATGAGCCGTAAGCTCAACTCTGGTGAGTGTGTGTGATGTTTTTACAGGGGGACCTTGTAGACTACCAGCTGGATTCCTCTTCTAGTAGATGACTTCTGCCTTAAAACCGGCTATTGGAACTCTCCAGGAAAAACTAGGAATAATCCCTATCCCCCCCCCTCTCTCTATCTCTATCTATGTCTATGTCTATCTATCTATCTCTTATCTATCTTATCTATCTATCTTATCTATCTATGTCATCTATCTATATCTGTCTATCAGTCTGTCTGTCTATCTTATCTATCTATATCTATCTCATCTATCTATATGTCTCTGTCTATTTATCTATCTATCTGTCTGTCTGTGTCTATCTCTTAGATAATAACTGCCTTGCTCAGCAACAGTAATTCTTGGGCTCAATGGTGTTTTTTTTATTTGGTTCATTCAAATTTGTAATTTTTGTTTGAGAGAGAGAGAGAGAGAGAGAGAGAGAGAGAGAGAGAGAGAGAGAGAGAGAGAGAGAGAGAGAGAGAGACAGACAGACAGACAGACAGACAGACAGACAGATAGATAGATAGAGATGGATGGATGGATGGATGGATGGATGGATGGATGGATGGACGGACGGACGGACGGACAGACGGACAGATAGATATAGATAGATAGATAGACAGACAGACAGACAGACAGACAGACAGATATAGACAGAGATAGATAGATAGATAGATAGATAGATAGATAGATAGAAAGAAAGAAAGAAAGAAAGATAGATAGATAGATAGATAGATAGATAGATAGATAGATAGATAGATAGATAGATGATAGATAGATAGATAGATAGATAGATAGATAGATAGATAGATAGATAGATAGATAGATAGATAGATAGATAGATAGATAGATAGAGTCAGCTGCCAAGCATCCAAATTTTGATCGCGTGACCATGGAGGTTGCTGCAAAGGCTGTAAGTGTGAAAAACGGTTGTAGGTCACTTCTTTCAGTGCCATTGTAACTTCAAGCAGTCCCTAAACGAAAGTCGAGGACTGCCTGTCCTTGGGAGATACCTGACCACAGGAGGGAGGGAGAGGCTGCAGTGACCTTTGTGTCTTCTCCTTGCAGACTCGCACGGGGTCTCGGATGAGGAGGGCTCCTCAGAAGTGTTCTTAGCCACTGACAGCGATTATGACTCCAGCAGCGCCCAGAGCCCTCGGGAACTGGACCTCGTCTACTCATCCTCAGGCCTCGAATGCTATAGGAGGAGAACTCCCCGCCCTCTGAGGGACAGCGCCCCGGACGTCCTCCAGAGCCATGAGCTCAAGGCGCCTGCCATGCCTCCGAAGGAGCCTCCGTCCCTCTCCGAGCAATACGACAGTGATTTTGTGCTTCCCAGCCGGCAGATTGAATTGCTGCGCATCACGGAGAAAAGGCAGGCCTACTGCGTCCGGACCAGCAGTCTGGATTTCCCCAAGCCCTTTTGCCACGGGGCCAGGAAGTCTTGCCCTGGTTCGGTGGACAGCTCCCCAACCGAGAGCAGGACTGCTGCCCACTGCAGCCCCGTGCCAACCGTAACGAGGTCGGCTTTCAGCTCCAGCCACGATTGGCACACCGAGAGCTCGGGGGCCGTGTTTCGGACACGTTCAGTAGAATGGACTCAGACCTTCCGGGAGACCTCTGAGCCGGGACATGTAGCAAACTGGGTCAGATTGCCAGGTTCTTTCATCGTACGTGTGTGCGCTCAGTACAACACGGGGCTCTCCAAAGAAACCAGCGTCAAGGTACCCTTAAATTCCCGGCTCCGCTTGATCAGCATCATGGTGCAATGTTGAGAATGAAGGCATGCTTGCGGGGAAATCGTGGCTTTTCCCAAGACTGAGCAGCCCTGTCCCTCTTTTAGTTTTGGGTCTCCTCCTCGGTGTCAGTAAGCCAGAAGGAGCAGAAGTCTCTTAGTTTCGTGACAGAGTCTGAGATTACATCTAGATGTGGTTCTGTCTATGTACTGGAGTTTCTGCTTTGCAAAATGTCTTGGAGAGAGAAAAACCAAGAATACACATTGTAAGAAAGTACAAAACAAAACAAAAATATGAGGTTCTAATTTGATAAATGTGTTATCTAGGGACCTTGGAGGTCTTCTATCTATCTTCTATATAGGGCAAATGGTTGTCCTATCTCTTCTTAGAAAGCTTCAGGGTTGGAGCACCCATAACTTCTGGAGGCAAGTCGTTCCACTGACTAATTGTTCTCGCTGTCAGGAAATTTCTCCTTAGTTCTAGGTTGCTTCTCTCCTTGATCAGTTTCTATCCATTGCTTCTTGTTCTGCCTTCAGGTGCTTTGGAGAATAGCTTGACTCCCTCTTCTTTGTGGCATCCCTTCAAATACTGGAACACTGCTCTCATGTTACACCTAGTCCTTCTTTTCATTAAACTACATACCCAATTCCAGCAACCGTTCTTCCTACGTTTTAGCCTCCAGTCCCCTAAACATTTTTGTCACTCTTCTCTGCACTCTTAAGCAGCTTCTTGGAAAATGCCCACATTCTCTCATGCCCTTCCTCTTGGTCTCACCTCCCTCTCTCTCTTTTTTTTCACAGCTGCCCCTCACTAACAAGATGTCGGCAGAAGACGTGGTGAAGCTGGTGGTCCAGGAGACGAACGAGGTCTCGCGCAAAGTCCTGGGAAATGCCAACTCTGTCTGCTACAGCGAAGAGCAGTTGGGCCACTTCGCACTAGTGTTCGTATCGGATGACGTGGAACAGTGGCTCCCCAGCAATTTTCTCCCCCTCTCGCTCCAAAAGACCTGGCCCAACGGGAGGTTCTACGTCCGAATCAAAGACACGTCCCCTCTCTTGTTTCGGTATGGCCCAGCAACAACAGTATGAGAAGAGGGACACCAGAAGGAGAACAAAAACGAGGACTATCCAACTTCCAATGAGCAGAAAGCTCATCACCAATGCTTCCTTCTGAACAGACACTTTCATGCCAGACGTTGTGGGCCAGAAGCGTATTGGGCAGTGTGTTGCTTTTGTACGTTTGTGTGTGTGTATGTGCGTGTGTATGTGTGTGTGTGTGTGTTTTATTTTACCAAAGAGACAACAAGACCTGGTTGTTATGACCTCAGTAAGTGAGGGTGAAACCCAGGAGCCTTTGGGGGTGGTGAAATTCAAATTTTGATCAGCCGAGAAAAAAAGCTGGTTAGGGATAAAAAAGCAATATGTAATAATATATATTTTTTTCAGTCGGAACAGCATAAAAGAGAGAGAAAAGGGGTGGGGTGCATTCTGAAAAAAAAAACCCGCTGGGAATACATCAGAGGTTCTCCTGGAGAGGAAAAGGCCCGTGGCAATCTCACAAATTTACGTTCTGTTAATTTTCTGTTTCTGTTTCATTGTACCTGGAGAAGTAGGAAATGGCCCTTAATTCTTTGAACAAACTCTCCTCTTTGTCTTAATTCTTCCAGCCTGGCTATTTTGGAACACAGAATATTGTGGGTGTTCAAAATCTGTAGGAAGCTCAAATCCTTTCTCTCTCCAAAGTTTAAGAGGTCAGACTTTATCTTTGGGATTAAAAACCTCATCTTGGTAGGAAGACTGAATCAACCTTTCATTTCATTAGTACTTCAGTCTTAGAATGATCCAACTTGGGCAAGGGGCAGGATTGGTTGGTTTCCTGATGTTTTTTAAGAGCTGTGCTTTACTACAAGGCCTTGTGATTCCTTTCTCTGATCTAGATATTCTTCCTTCTACTTCTCTGTGGATTTTGGAAGGTACACAGATAAGCAATTATTGGGAGTCAGCTGTAAGATTGTTTGGATGAGGAACGACTTCATTCTGCCTTCTATTATAGACTTGGTTCAATGTTGGGAAGCAATGACTATCCTTTCCTATCTCCAAGAGGAAAATGGAAACCTCTGCCAGACCAACCAGATTTTCATCTTTCCTATAAACAAGAGTAGCATTGAACATATCCAGTGCTAACAACCAGGAGCATTTGTTGCATTCAAACCACAGAAGAGTTGATTATTGCACCTGTAATGGTCAAAGCTAAATTGGTGCTAGATAAGGGTCAACAGAATTCAAGGGATGTCTCTTGTGGCTATGCAGTGATTTCAAACTGATGGCACTTTTAACCCCACCTTCTAGCTCAGCTCGTTCTCCTACAGAACACAGGACTTTACAGAAACTCATGTAGACATTCTAGTGGAAGCAGAGAGGGACTTAGCAAAGACCCACAACAAAGCACAATAACATTCATTCCCCACCTTCTGCCTGAAAAAGGTCCAAAGAAGAAGATTTCTTTGGATGAAGAGTGTACAATGAAGAGTGTGCAATCATCCACAACGACTTTTGATTTGGTATCTCTTGTCCAGAATCTCTAGAGAAGAGGGGACCGCATCTGAAATTGTTCACGGAATTGTGTAAGAGCCTTCTGGAAGACCATTCCTAATCTCTTGGACCATGGCTAAGTCTAAGTTCTCAAATGAATAATGCTGCAGAAGATATTGTCCACATTGCAGCTTTCATCTACATATTATAATCCAGACTGCATTGTTCCATTTCAGATTATAGGTTAAGGAGAAGACATGGTAATATCTTAATTACTACTTGGGGAATCCACACCCCATTCTTATCATTATAGGAGTCGTCCCCTGTAGCAACAGAGTTAATTTTCAAGGAAGATGGCCTGTAAAATCTGAGCACGTAAACAGCGAGAGGCTGGCATTAAGAACATGCAGACTGCTGCTAGCATCCTTCCAATTTCATATTGATATTATTTTAATTGCTGATTGGGTTCAGGATAAGATAAGCAGACACAGGTAGTCCTCGGCTGATGACCCCAAATGAACCCAAAATTTCTGTTGCTAAGCAAGACATTTTTTAAGTGAAATTTGCCCCATTTCATGACTTTTCTTGCCACAGTTGTTAAGTGAATCACTGCAGTTGTGAAGTTAGTAACACAGTTGTTAAGTGAATCTGGGCTTCCCCTATTGACTTTGCTTGCCAGGCGGTCGTAAAACGGGATCGCATGACTCCGGGACGTTGCAACCGTCATAAATATGAACCAGTTGCCAAGCATCCGAATGTAAACCTGTGACTATGGCGAATGCTACAATGGTTGTAAGTCTGAAAAATGATCATAAGTCACTTTTCCAGTGCCGTTGTAACTTCCAACGGTCACTAAATGAACTGTTGGAAGTGGAGGGCTACCTGTATAATAATGTTTTAAATAAAGAATATTGTAGGGAATGGACTCGTCTTGCCCAAAGTATACTGAGTGATCAGAATTGATTGAGAAGCGAGACTTGGATCAGCAGGCAGGATGACGTTACTGTCTGAACAGACATATTGCTGGAGTATTTCAGCAAATAACAAACTTGAGGAACTGTGAAGCATCTCTTCCTGAATTCGAGAACCATCTATGCAGGCTTGTGGTTGATCTTAATCGCCCCTTCATCATGACATGGTCTTCTTTCATTTGATCCACAAACTTTCCTCCACGAATTTGCTTCTGTATCTTTTCTTTCTCAGTTTCTGTAGCTGATTTCTCTTTGTCGTGTAGACCAATACTAGTGCCTTTTCCAACATGCGAGGTGTTAGTTTACAGAACTAGTGGGATTTACAGCAAGAACCAGGATCTTGAGGTGGCCAAGTAGGACATCTTCCATGGCTGGGGTTGAGACTTTTATCTGCAGCCCAGCCGGTTTCAGACAGCAGCTTAGACATAGAGGCAGAACGTATAAGAGCCGTTGAGTTCTCCATCTTCCTCTCTATGTTGAGCAATTTCATTAACAGCAATACTGTTTCAGCCTGTTGACCACGATCAGTTGTAGTATCTATCGGACTATATTATTTTGGGAAGACTTCCTCAACTGCTGACTCAAGAAGAGCTTTCCCATGAAAACGACAAGCAAGGATGCTTTGTGGTGGCTGCAGGATTGACTACAGCAAAGATACGATGCCCTATTTTAAGAGAGCGACATTTTATCTGAATTCAAGTATCCCATCATCCCAACATCTCTTTCTAAAAAGGGTTGCTCTTGATAGGCCCTCTTAGCTAGGATTCTTCTCAACATACTTCTTCTTCAGAAGCTTTCTCAGTGGCCATCACCGATGAATAGTCTGCACCAGGTTCTTTGTCTAAAAATCGGTGTATCTTTTACAGATATCCAGGTATCTAAATTGGATTCTTTGTTCCTGGGAAAGAGCAGGGAAAGATGTATTCACCATAAATGATCAGAGAAATTGCTCTTTTCCTTCCAGGGTGTTTAAAAACACTATGAACCTCTATTGCACATTATTGTCTCACCTGCCACTTTTCAAAATCCTAAGATAAGGTCCACGCTTGTGGTTGATCTCCCTTTCAACAGTATTTATCATCTGTGCTCCTGAATGTGGTGGTGGGGACGTGGACATGGTTCCATCTTCTGCCCTGTCTGGTCCAAAAACGCTCCTCACCCCAAGTATGGTTGAAAGTTGAAAACATCTTCCTATCAGGAGGTGGTTCTATCCCATTTATAACATCTAGACGCACAAAGAATTAAATTTGGTGGTAACCAGAAGGCTCCCCCCTTTAGTTCTGTTTCCACAAAGACCTGGAGAGATGTGCAGAAGGCAGTTTTTGCTGTCAACGGTGTGCGAAGAGAACATCCGCTGTGACACTTGAGTTGTTAACTTTCTTCTTCCTTCCCTTCCCAGTTGCTGTTTTGTTTCTGTGATTGTGAAGAATTACTCTTGTACATCCAATAGCATGTTTCGTTGGCCGCGAGGTCCCTTTGTTAGCTGCTACTATTAACAGAACTGTGGTCCATAGTAAACACAGCTATCCTGCTGAGTATGGTCCCATCTTTCTTCACCAATGCCCTTTGGGGGAAGGTCTCCAGACTTTTTGATCTGGAGGTCACATTTTTGAACCTGAGTTCTAGGAAACACGGTCTCGGGGCAGGAGGAGAGACGTGTCCACGATGGGTCTATGACAATTCGCCGCGGCCAACTCACCACGGTCACCTTGCCGCTGGACAAGAGTTACACTGATATCCAAGAAATGGTAGAATAGAATCTTTGAAGGGAGGGTGCAAAAGGAGGGACAGAATGAAATGTGAACGGCGAAAATTAAAATAACTTTTTATTTATTTTAAATCATTAAATCAAATTGTTCCACAGCAAGTTCTCCGTGGTGACTTGGCCGTGGCAAGTTGTCCCATTCCCGTCCATGAATGCACATAATAGAGGATAATCCATGTCTAATTCAACAATGTAGGAACCAGATCAAGGCTTATGAGTTGGATTATTATTATTTTTTGAAGGATTGCAATTCAAAACGAGAGGGGAGGGGGTAAACCTGGGAGAAGGACCAGAAAATTAAGCCAAGTGTAAGCATACAGGCTGATTCTTTTCCCCAAGCAGGACGAACGTTTATATAAAAAATGAACTCAGCCCTGCAACTGTGTGTGTGTAAATGTAAATAACATCAATCACGTTCCCTTTAATTCTCCAGCTCTCTTTATTTGTCGTTAAGGCTCCAATCCCAAAAACGCTTTGCAGGAAGTCGTCTTTCTGTAATTCCCTGCAGGATTGGAGTCGCGGTGTCTGCACATGATGCCATCTTGAAAAGTGCTCCAAGCCATCCGCATTTAAATGTTCTTTTCAACAGCACTGCTGAGTCAAGCCAATCAGGCTTTACTGCGCCCAGGAGCAGAACACAGCAATAGAATTCATCGCTGCATCCAGACGGAAAACGCTAGTCAGATAATCTGCTAGAGGTAAATTATTAAAAACGACAAGAGGAGCGTTTTATTTCCTTGCATCACGGTGGGCATTTTTTCGACTGGAAACTTTTTTTTTTTTTCTTTTTCACTGTACTAAAAAAAAAAAGAGGACAAAAACTTCCTTGGAACAAACCTGATGGGAAATGCAATTAGAAAGTGATTTAAAGTTTGTAGAACCGATCCAAGCACACAGCCCTTGCCATATCAAAGGGTGTTTATATATTACGCTGGCATCCGGCTTTTCGTCCACACAGCTCGAAGCGTGCTTTGTGCCGGCCTTGTGAAGTGGATGATGCTGATGTGTAAACCTACGGATCAGGGGGCTGCTTTCAATCAAAATGTCCTACCGACATGTACGGTGGTTTTAGTTCAGTGGTGGCGAACCCTATGGCACGGGTGCCAGAGGCGGCACTCAGAGCCCTCTCTGTGGGCACGCACACCGTCGCCCCAGTCCTAGGCCTTCAGCTGGGTTTCATAAAACCTTTTCGCTTTAGGCCTCCGCAGCCGTGTGCCAAAAAAAAAAGGTTCAATCAGTCAATTTCAACTTCTCGCAGGAAAACGAAAGATCTTGCAAAGTTGAAATTGATTGATTGAACTTTTTAGTCCCACCCAGTCTGCCATTACCACCGCAGCCACGCCCACCCAATGGGCCACACCCAGCCAATGGGCCACACCCACCTGGCACCCGACGATGCATAAGTGGGTTTTGGGTTGCAGTTTGGGCACTCGGTCTCTAAAAAGTTCGCCATCACTGTTTCAGTTGCTGCAGCAAAAATAGCTACCAGCTCATGGCTGAAAATATTCAGATGTCCACTAGGTGGCATCAAAGTGTTCTGCTTTCCTGTATTCCTTTCTCATCATCTAGTGATCACCCAGGATATTGCAGACCAGATCTTGCAACATAGGTTAAACCAGAGATCCCCAACCTTTTAGGCACCGGGGACCGGTTCCGTGGAGAAAGTTTTTTTCCGTGGACCGGAGAGTGCGAGGTTTTCTGTGCTGCCTGCATCCCACAGGTGGGGCTTTGCTTGTTTGTGTGGACCGATTGCTGGCATGCCGCGGCCCAGTACCGGTCCACAGACCGGGGGTTGGGGACCCCTGGTTTACACCACAAGCCCCGTAAGACAGCAAATCAAATCAGGGACTGAAAGAGGATTGCCAGACTTCCGAGTTGCTGTCAATCAAAAGCCACACTAGATTGCTGAGAGACTAAAAGAAATTTGCAAGGCTTTGCCCTTATATACATACGCACGTAGCAAGGCAAGCTGCCTAAGGGAGAGAGAAGGTCCGAAATGGCATAGGGTTTCCTGCCTGAGCAGGGGGTTGGACTAGATGACCTCCAAGGTCCCTTCCAACTTTATCATCATTATTATTATTATTATTAAGGTTGATCCATGAATTGCTTTCTTTTCCCTAACGCACAAAATCAGCTGCTTGCAGAGTAGATTTAAGTGTTGAGTGCGAGCAGTTTCGGAGGCATCGTCTATATACAGAGCTACGCAAAGGGTAAAAGACAGTCCTTGATGCTGCCCACCCCCCCAATATTTAATTATTTAATATATCATTCAAACTTTTGCTCCTGAATGTGATAATGGAGTTGCATGCTTTGCTCGGCATAGAGAAATCCGAGTGTCTTTGAGATACCGTGCGGCCCTTTTAAGAAGTTATTATTAATGTTATGGGCCAATCTGGTGCAGCTACCACAATCTTCAGACAGGTACCTTACAGGTACGTGTACATTTGCACTGCTTTGTTAGG